CTCCCCCCCCCAAAAAAAAACTAAACCCTTAACCCTAAACCCAATCAAGATGTACTACCTACTTACTAAGTCCCCCGAACCCACACCCGAAGCCCAAAGCCTGCAACTCGAGGCAAATGTTGAGGCATCTTGCAGTTTAACGTGTAACATAGCATAATATAGGGGCCTTAATAATTACCTCTGCTACTTTGGGGGGGTTCCTTATCATAGTTATAGTACAATATACCCCAAAACCCTCTTCGAATTATAAAAGCCCCTACAATGGACTCAGAACCGGAACCCCTAAACCCCTAAACCCTAAACCCAGACCCTGAACTTCAAATTGTGCTCCCTGTCGGCCTTAAGCACCTACAGCGAAGGGGCGCACCAGTGGCCGTAAGCCCTGCGAAAGACAGAGAGAGGGAGGGGCTGAAGCTGTCAAGTTCTGACGACGCAGAAGGCAGCACCTTCGACAGCTAAGGACCCTCGCAGGGTTTTTTTCTTCATGGCCGTTTCATCTTCGGCCCCCGTTCTTCTTGGACGCACCCAGCCAGGGAAGTTTGTGCAGGAAGACCCTTGCTCTGAAGCCAGCAAGCGGTGTGCAGAGATTGCCCGTGCTCACAAGGCGGTGTTGCGGGACATGCACTCGATCCAGAAGGGAAACAGGGTGAGGCCTTTATTGGCCTGCTCTGGCAAGGAGCGCACCTGCCGCGTCGCGGCCATTAACGCGTGATGTTGGATGATGCTGCTTTGCCTTGTGGAATCGAAGATGCTCCTCAAAGGAAGTCTCGATGGGACACTGCACATCGAAACTGCTAGATGCATGAACTGTTCCCCTACTGCTTTCGGCTTTAGGCTGCTTAGGGTTCTGTTTTTTCGGGTCGGGGGCAGCGGAGAGCGAACTGACCAGAAATGCTTAACCGTAAGCCCCTCTAGCCTCAGAGCCCTAAACCCCGAAGCCCTAAATCCTCAACTCCTAAGCTCTAACGCCCTAGCTAAACCCCTGAACCTCCATGATACTTGCCCTGTGCAGGCAAAGCTTGAGCAAGCAGCGCAGAAAGAGGCTGCGGAGTGCTGCTGAGTCTTCGAATTCTGGAGTCTTGGTTTTAGCCCGAAACCCCAACCCTTGAGCAACCCTAAACCCTGACCCCTAAACCCAAAGCCATGAACTCTAAATCCAAAACCCTAAACCCCAAATCCTAAACCGCAATCCCCGGAGGCTCTTAGTTATGCACATACAGTTTCTGAGGAGCGCTGAGTTTCGGATTCAAACCAGCATGATGATGAGACCTGCGGGGTTTATGAACCGTCATGCAGACCCGAAATATTGAAATTGGGATGTAGAAGTATCCCTGCTATAATCCCTATAATAAAAGGAAAGGAGTTTATGAATTTGGGATCTACAGTATCAAGCATACCACTGGGTAATGCCCAAAGACCTCAATAGGACCAGTCATGTCACGGCAGGAGACACTTAAAAGAAGATAGCCCCCAGCCCGAAGCCCCTAAATGTTGAAACTTAACGTAGGGGCCTAATAATTGCCTATACTACTTTGAGGGTTCCTTATAGTATATTCGGCACCAAAACGCTATAATTATACCAGCCTCGACCCCA